CTGTGGTGTGTGGTGTGTGGTTGGGTTGGGCTTCTAATCTTTTTGGGCAAAAAACATTTGAATTTAATTTTATTTTTTATTAAAATAAAATCTAGAATTCAAATTAATTCTGGAAACAAACTGGTCCGATTTTTCTGTACACCCAAGCAGGTCCCTTCCAGTTTTTATCTGTTTGAATTTTGAACCCAACATATTTAAATCTGTTTAATTCAAAACCCAATAGGTACTGTACCTGTTTAAACAGGTTTGCACCTGTTTAATTCAAAACCTACATCCACCAATACATCTATAAATAGACTAGTCCCTCATTTAGATTTCACTCCAATTTTCGTACTTCATCTCTGCTATAATTCTCTACATTTTGCTGCATTTAATTTCTGTAAGAAAAGAGTGTAAACACTTAGTGTGTTCGTAAGGCAAACAATTTGTAGTGCTGCTATTGTTTGTGGTAGATCATTTCATCCTGGGAGATAGACGTCCAAATTCTGAAAGCACCGTGGAGAGGACGAATCTGTCTTAAGGACACAGTGTCAAACACTGGACTTGATCAGAAAATAATTCGAAGAAATTAAATCAAGTAAGTTATTTAATATATTTTCAGTGTTGTTTTTATTTATTAAATCAGATTTAAATTTTGTTTTTTGTAACAAAATAAAATCTGTTATTTATTTATTATTTCGAGTTTGATTTTTGTAATCAAACAAATTCTCTCATTTTCTTTATTTCTTTAAATTCTAATTGTTGTTGTGTACACAATAGAATTAAATCTTTTAAATACAGTGAAGATTGTCCAACAAATTTGTGCATAATTTAATGCAAAGAAACTCTCACATGATAGTAGGGCTCACACATGTGAAATCATGTGCGATCCACTCTTTTGTGAGAGTTTCAATACATTCCGTATACATATTTATTATTTTTGTATATATATTTACTATGTAAATAGTATTTGCGCATTCTATGTACAATTTTTTTGAGTACATAATATTTCTCATGAGAGTTTGGTGATATCGCGAACTACTTAGACCATCTCCAATGGTTATTGTTATATTGTCATTATTATTGCTATAATTTGACAATAAATAGTGTTATTTTGCCAAATTATAACAATGGTGTTCCAATGGTCATTTGCTATTTTGGCAAATCTCAACCAACTTTCCCTTCAAGTTTGTAGGTGGTGTTTAAATATAGATTTTTTTGTGATTTTATTTTTATTTATTTTTTGTTTTTTGTGGATTTTTTTTAACTATTTGTAAAAAAAATTATATATTTATATTATTCCTGACTAGACAAATATAAAAAATGAAAAAAATTGAAAAATTGGAAAAAAAAATTAAATATAATTCACCCCACCAAAAAAACATATCACTACATATTTAATAAATTTTTTTAACTACCGATTACATTAAAAAATAAATGACATTGCAAATAAAGACTACCGATTACATTAAAAAATAAATGACATTGCAAAAAAATACATTATCCCGTAATTATTCATCAGGAGGCATGGGGAAATAGTAATTTGGGCTACTAACATTTGAGAACCACTTGGCGAAAATCTCATTTTTTCGCGTTGTGTAATACGCTTTCGCCTGAGGGTCCAAATAAAAAATGTCCGTAGTCATTATCTCATGTTCTTGTTTTCTGATTTCAAGTTCTTTCATCTCCTACAGCGCTTGAATCATTTTTTCTTCTCTTTCATCTTTTTTCTTTTCTTTCTCAGTAAGGTGTTGGTTAAATGTCTCCAATTGTATACTCATTTTTTGGACTTCAGCTTCAATGCCTTGATTTCTCCGAAATAATTATTTTGCAGCTTTCCTACCCATAGGCTTTTTATCCTTTGCAGTGGCACTGCCCTTACCAATAGTTGGATTATTACCAATACTTGGACTAGTGTCATCTTCAAGAGAAATATGGTTATCCATAGGGGAATCGGGGGCTGAATCAGGGAAAAACGGTGTACGTATCCTTGACTTCACTATGTTCGTAGGAGTTACATCTTGCCACCTGATATTATTTTGCAAGATTGGCCAACAATGTTCAAAAACAAAATGTTTGTTTTCATATTGATGGTATAATAGTTTTGCTTGAAGCATTTATATGGCAATAAAATATTAAATTAATTAATTAGTTAATTTTTATATAAAACAAAATAAAAAAACTAACATAATAAATGAAAATGAAATCTTACTATATCAACTTGTGACGCCCCACTTGGATGTAGATTTTCGACTTGCGTTAGACACCCACAAATTTTTTTTCAACATTTCATGATTACACCCCATCGAGATGAGATAGACACTTGTGTTCTTGATTGATCATTCTGCAACAAGCAATAATTTTAAAAAATTCTTCCCCAAAAATGAGCATGTGATTGCGAATTTCCAACAATTGGGTCTTCAATAATGTGACACCAAGCTCTACAAATTGACACATCTTCCTGAGTAGTAAATGATCTTCTTCTCTTGTTTTTAATGAACTTTCCATACTGATTGTGTGGAAAATAAAAGAGAAAAGTATAATTAAAATAAAAATTATTGCTGTGAATTGAAAATGGTAAAACAAGGTATGTATATTTATATTACTCAAATTGAAAGAAAAATAACCGTTTAATTATAGCCATTTAATTAGTATATGCTCATTTTTTTACTTTCTGATCCAAATAGAGCCGTTGGGCTCATATTACAAATTCCAAGACACTCTATCTCCCATTTCAAACGATTGAGATTTTATCTCCCATTTCCAACGGCCGAGATCATCTTCATATCTCTATCTCCCTACATACTCTCTGACTCTCTTCTCTCTCTATATCTGTTCTCCATTCATACTAATCGACTTTTCCCTTGCAAGATGGACACTCTTCTCTCTTTCTCTCAGATCATCTTCATCTCTGTATCTCTTCTTTTCTCTCTCTGAGATCATCTTCATCTCACTATCTCTTCTCTCTCTCTGTATCTCTTTTCGATCGGCGACAGTACAAGATCGAAGAGATGATCGGCGACCACTTACCCACACCCCTCTCACTCCTCTCTGTCTCTGTCTCTCTCAGTCTTAGAATGGAAAAACTGATCACCAAATCTACTTGTCTTTCACTGTCATTCTATCTCTCATCTCTCTGTCTTCGATCGGCGACAGTATATGCTCAAAAAGACGATCGGCGACCGTCTACCAGATCTCTGTCTTCGATCTCTCATCTCTCTGTCTTTTATCTATCATCTCTCTGTCTTCGATCTACCAGATCTACTTTGAACTATGAAAACAAGGTATTTCTCATTTTCAGTGAATCTGTTTAAATTCTACTTTGAACTATGAAAACAAGGTATTTCTCATTTTCAGTGAATCTGTTTAAATTCTACTTTGAACTATGAAAACAAGGTATTTCTCATTTTCAGTGAATCTGTTTAAATTCTACTTTGAACTATGAAAACAAGGTATTTCTCATTTTCAGTGAATCTGTTTAAATTCTACTTTGAACTATGAAAACAAGGTATTTCTCATTTTCAGTGAATCTGTTTAAATTCTACTTTGAACTATGAAAACAAGGTATTTCTCATTTTCAGTGAATCTGTTTAAATTCTACTTTGAACTATGAAAACAAGGTATTTCTCATTTTCAGTGAATCTGTTTAAATTCTACTTTGAACTATGAAAACAAGGTATTTCTCATTTTCAGTGAATCTGTTTAAATTCTACTTTGAACTATGAAAACAAGGTATTTCTCATTTTCAGTGAATCTGTTTAAATTCTACTTTGAACTATGAAAACAAGGTATTTCTCATTTTCAGTGAATCTGTTTAAATTCTACTTTGAACTATGAAAACAAGGTATTTCTCATTTTCAGTGAATCTGTTTAAATTCTACTTTGAACTATGAAAACAAGGTATTTCTCATTTTCAGTGAATCTGTTTAAATTCTACTTTGAACTATGAAAACAAGGTATTTCTCATTTTCAGTGAATCTGTTTAAATTCTACTTTGAACTATGAAAACAAGGTATTTCTCATTTTCAGTGAATCTGTTTAAATTCTACTTTGAACTATGAAAACAAGGTATTTCTCATTTTCAGTGAATCTGTTTAAATTCTACTTTGAACTATGAAAACAAGGTATTTCTCATTTTCAGTGAATCTGTTTAAATTCTACTTTGAACTATGAAAACAAGGTATTTCTCATTTTCAGTGAATCTGTTTAAATTCTACTTTGAACTATGAAAACAAGGTATTTCTCATTTTCAGTGAATCTGTTTAAATTCTACTTTGAACTATGAAAACAAGGTATTTCTCATTTTCAGTGAATCTGTTTAAATTCTACTTTGAACTATGAAAACAAGGTATTTCTCATTTTCAGTGAATCTGTTTAAATTCTACTTTGAACTATGAAAACAAGGTATTTCTCATTTTCAGTGAATCTGTTTAAATTCTACTTTGAACTATGAAAACAAGGTATTTCTCATTTTCAGTGAATCTGTTTAAATTCTACTTTGAACTATGAAAACAAGGTATTTCTCATTTTCAGTGAATCTGTTTAAATTCTACTTTGAACTATGAAAACAAGGTATTTCTCATTTTCAGTGAATCTGTTTAAATTCTACTTTGAACTATGAAAACAAGGTATTTCTCATTTTCAGTGAATCTGTTTAAATTCTACTTTGAACTATGAAAACAAGGTATTTCTCATTTTCAGTGAATCTGTTTAAATTCTGTCTATAGCATTAGGTACAACCATAATTGTTCATATCTCAATTCCTCATGATATTTTCTCTCTGGTTTTTTGAATGAAAATGCAATTTAGGGTGTCTTTGAAAGCAACTTTGTGAGGGTGTATTCATGAATCTAATTCTCAAAATTTGTTCACTAGACAGGTTCAACTACTTTGCTGACCTAAACAATTCTTTCATACTTAATGCTGATGTGATTGATTGAAAAAAAAAAATTGCATTTATGGTATCTTATTTTCTAAAAATGATATTTTTATCAGTAATTTGTATTGGGTTACTTCTGACTGTAGGTTTTGCCCTCTTAGGTTCCACAAATGTATTTCCTGCAATTTTCCTAGCAATCAATGAGAATGAAAAGGACTAGTGAAATGTCTCTGTTTATTAACGGCAATAACTATGAAAAATAATGGAAGTTCTGAAACTTGATTTCCTTACCTCAAAAGTTTCCATACATTTGTTTGCTGATATATGCGTTTGGCAAGAGCTAAACGGGGCTTTTTTGGCTATTTTAGGCACAAAAGACAAAATAGACTATTTTAGCCACAAAAAATAAAATATCACATCCAACCCATAATCATTACATTCTTCTCTCACAAAAAAAGCCAAAAAAGCCAAAAAACCCTTCTCAAACCAAACTTTTTAGCACAAGCTAAAATAGTCAAAAAAGTCAAAAAGCCAAAAAGCCAACCCACTTCTCAAACGGAGGCTCAAAGTTATAGAAGTTCTCTCCATTTTTCTCTTTCACACTTCTTCAAAACAACTAAAGCAGAAAAAGTGAGCCTGCTTATCATTTTTGTTTTCTTCATTTTGTTTTGTGTTTTTAGAAACAAAATCAATAAAAAGTCCAAAAACACTTACATTTTTTTTTTTGTGTGAGTATGTGTGTGTGTGTGAAAACAGTTTTCATACTTTAAAACAACTCTTTGAATTAATGTTGCATTCTAGAAAATGGAATAGTGATAATGAAAGAAATCATTAATGTGTGAAGATTACTTCTATATTACCCTTCCGTATTCCAGAACTGATTTGGATTGGCTCTATTTTTGATTGGGGATGTTTTTATCTAGTCGAGACTGCTGCTAAAGTCCTAGAGGGAGAAATATTGAGAGTGGCGCTATCGAAACCAAAGAATGGTAACGCACAGCAGGAGCCAGTTGTGTCAGTTGTTCCTTCGCGCTCTGGTTTCCAACCTGTTGTTTGGTTGGAGGATTTGAGAAAGGATTTGAAAAGAGAAATAGAAAAGGTAGGTGAAATGAGAATAAAATATACCTACATTTCATCTAGTTTCACACACGATTTCCCTTTTCATTTCCAAATCCCTCTCCAAATTTTCCAACCAAACACAGGAGAGAATTGTATTGAGTAAAGTTGGTACATAACATGCTATTATTCAAATTGTATGCTTCAATGTAGTTCAAATAAATCTCATTTTGTCGAGCTTTTTCGACATAATATCATAAACAGTTTAAGTACATCAATTAAAAAAACAAAAAAAAGCTTAAACATCATGTCCAGATTATTGACTCTGGAAATGAAGAATCTAATGACAATGCTATTTGGGTTTGTTTTGAGCATGACCATTTTCAGTGTTGTAGGAGGATCAATAGGAAATAAAGCTTCTTTTGTTTGCTCGTTGCAGTTGGTATTTGAACTTTAGAACAGAGCAGTTCATGAATTTTGTGGGGTTTAATGAATCTTGTTTTCAAAAATGAAGAGAACCAAAGTCTGAGGTGGGAATGTTAGATTGATCCCCTGCCACAGTAAGTGTGCCCTGTGTCCACCTCTTCAGCATTTCTAGTGCAGCTTTGGGTTGATCCATTGGAACCAAGTGACCAGCATTAAATGCCTGATTGATGTTGCAACAAAGAAATTTGTCAAAATTTGGAATTTGTAAAACACACACACACACACACACACACACACCCACACACACACAGACCTTGAGGAAAGTGAGGGAGCCATAACTTTTCATGATTCCTGTCAATGCACCATCAACAACAAATGGAACAGCAGGAGCAGTTGTGAAGTTGTTCTGACCAGACCATTGCATGAGATTAACCCATCTATAATTCCCTGCCCAAACCAAAACACACCATGATTGCAAATGCAGCCAAAGAGACTATTTTCCCGTTTATCAAGCAAAAACTATTAAATAGGTACATAATTATTTGCCTGTGTTATGGCACACGGTCATGTAATTACTTCTATTGTTTTAATAAAAAAAATGGTCACATTCACATATCCTTTATTATTAAGTGATACATTGTCATATGGTATTCTTGAAACTCTTAACATGCTTCAAACTTATATCGTACATTAGTTAAGGCGAGTTCAGCGGAATAGTAGGTTATTTAAGTTTGAATGATTAATCTTAAAGAGTTTTGAAATATATTTAACTTATTTACTTTTTGAATCAATCTTAAATGATTTTTAATCAAATTGAGCCTAACTCAAACAATTTAATTTGTTTATTTATTCATTTATTTATAAGAGATCACTTTGTGTCTGGTCTCGTAACGGAACATAAGATTGAAATATAATTTAAAGAAGTATACCAAGCCAGTTGCAAATGAGATCATACTCCCCAGCATAAATGAGCATATTGATTCCATCTTCAAGGAGAGCAGGAATCCCAACTTCCAGATTCTTCATCCTGTCAGCCAGCATGGCATCATACACAGGGTTGCTACACGTAACAAATTGAATGTCTCCAACCCCAAGAGCTTCTCGAACCGCTTTCTGATTCAGAAATTCGACTACTTTTGACAAGTCGTAGCACAGTGGCCCCTCGCATTGCTTTCTTATGTCATAGACCTGCACACAGATCAACATCACAAATGTTATAATTTATAAAAGCGTGCGTAACATAGCATGACCCAAACAACGCGTTAGAATGGGAGAGTGTGGGGTTCTTACATTAAGGTTGGTGCCATTGAGATACAAGACCTCATCCAATATGGCCATGCAAACATTGAATGCATCTGTGCAAGTTGAAGTTGATCCACTTGTAGCTAATAATGCAAAAAAATTCATACTAATTAAACAAGGGTAATAATTACCAATTGCAAGATGAAATGAAAAAAATAGTATACTACAAGCTGAATATGTTATATAAATGTCTGTCACATTTTCAAATATTTTCGGCAAACAATAATCGAGATATAGTATTTTTTGTGGTATTTTAGTATAATAAAAATATACTTTATATTATAATAGGAGTTGAACATAGGTGAATATATAGTCAGAGTTTTGCTTAGGGCCCCTGAAAACTCAATACCCGCCCATGTATTTTCTATGCTATTTTTTTTTCCCCTATTCGTATCAACCATAATATTTTTAAGGTAAATTAGACTCACATCTCCTAATGTTGGAAGAAAATACAATTAGTTCTACAATTTCAACATAATTACACTGATATTCCTCAAGGTTATAATTCAAAACACTAATGCTATGTTTGGTTGGGGGATTTAGGAAAGGATTTTGAAAGGGAAATGGAAAAGGTAGGTAAAATGTGAATAAAATATATATATATTTCACATAGTTTCACACCCCTTTTCCCTTTCCCTTTCCAAATCCCTCCTCAAATCTCCCAACCAAACACACCATAAATCATTTTCCATCGGTAATTCATTAATCATATAAATAAAAAAATGATGTTGCCATCTCTTTTCTACTAAAATATATATTAATCTTTGTTTAATTTAGTATCTACATATCTTTGACATTAGTTTCAGTAGCTCTATCCATACAAAAAGGGGTTACTGAGGTTATAATTCAAAACACTAAATCATTTTCCATCGGTAATTCATTAATCATATAAATAAAAAAATGATGTTGCCATCTCTTTTCTACTAAAATATATATTAATCTTTGTTTAATTTAGTATCTACATATCTTTGACATTAGTTTCAGTAGCTCTATCCATACAAAAAGGGGTTACTGTAATTATCTCAAAAGTGTAGAGTTGACTGTATTTTCTCTAAAATCTCAAGCGAGTTGAGTGTAATTTGTCCTTTTTTATTTTTTATTTTTTTTTAATAAGCTTAACTTATTAATTTATGTTGAAGTTACAAAATAGATAAATGGACTTGTACACAAATGTAACTTTCATATTCACATTAATTTATCTTAATTTATTCATATTAAATTAACACTCACACAGTTAATTTATTTTGAGATGACAAAGTTGTAGTTAGTGATGAATTAATTCCCAATTATAATAACACCAATATAATTTTCATCAAAAATATTAGTTGGCCAAATATGCCGTATATGTTTTATTTTTTGCAATAAATTTAACACAAAAAACAATAGCATGCTATTTTAGCACAACATATGGCATGTGTCTGAGTCGTTAAAACAACTTTGAAAATGAGAATAAGATTGTGTACATTTTATTGTTTGTAGATTCCGTTTTATTAGAAGTTTCAGATTGTCTTTTTTATGTTCTAAACTATTGGAGTGGTTATTTTTTGTTACACTAAATACACCTTGACACTCAAAAATGCATTTAATGAGAAGAAGAAAAAAAAGGAAGAATAGAGAAATATAGGGAAAATGGAAGAATTACCACAAGCTTGGATAGCCTGTTCACATGGAGGAACCAAATCGGTAACATTGCTATATTCAGATTGGTTAATGAGTTTCGTGTACAGAGCAAAATCAGGGTATGTGGCGAACTGGATTGCTGGATTAGTCAGCCCATTCCCAATTGCAAATCCCTGTGGTCATCCATTTATACCCACACTTCATTCAATCAACTAAAATCTAAACATTTAAAACCATAATAAAAATCTCTTGTAGACATGTATATATATACCTTGAGGTTAATGAAAATTCCTTCGTTGGCTTTGTTACCCTTGTCAACCCGAGAAGCGAAAGCTGGAATGTAGTGACCCGCGTATGATTCTCCGGTTATGTAGAAGTCATTGTTTGCATAGTCACCATGTTGCTTGAAGAATTCCTAACATTATACACGGGGAGAGTTGGCATTTTTTATTTTTTATTTTATAATTGACGGAGAACTTCTACCATTTTTTTCCGTCATCTAGTAGAGGTTTTATGAATAAATTTTAATACACTTAATAACTTGTAAACCACGTATATCAATTAAGTCTAAATATTTATATATATGCGAGTCAAACATAAAACCTTCAAAAATAATCTCGTCAACCATTGAGTGGCCTTGCGAGTTATTACTCCACTTTATTCTCACCTTTTTTTTTTTTAATTTTTTTTATTCCCACCCTTAACAAACCTAATTCCAAGCTTTAGTATACATCAAGAGCACAGTGAAGTTTTGTTTTGAGAGGGTGTTTGGTAGCATAATGTAGTCCCTCAATGGACTTAGTCAATACGTAACTTGATGCCTTCATTCGATAGCCTACATATGCGGTGTTGCCTTCCAACTGCTTAGCTTAGGCCACGGATTGAGATGTTGCCTTACTCATGCTACACGTTGGTGCAACGCTAAGGTGCGTAATGGCCTTAGGCGGAATCTAACACACGTGTTGGCACGAGGATTATGCCGTGGGCGAGAGACTGACCCTCGGTGGCTTGTGGGCTTCGCATGACCAAGTGGCCATCCAATATGCATCTATTGAGGCATGCTTGACCCTACGACACTTTGAGATGCTATTAAAGACCCAACGTGCAATGTTGGCTTGTCAGCTAAGTTGAGGACCTTCGCTAGCACATTGTTGTGTGGCTAGGCACCTTGATGACACAAACGTAAGTTGGGCGAGCACCTTGCTTGAGGTAAGCTTGGCACTATGAAGCGACTTATGCCGTGCTTGGTGCACTTGAGGCGTTAGGCCTACTTGTGGCATCCGAGGGAAGACGGGGCTTCCTTGTGAAGTTGTTTTGCTTGACAAAGCATTGGACCCTAATGTTCAAACGGGTGAGACCATCAATACTCGATTTGTCAACGAGCTATGGTGGGCTTAAACTTGGTGGAGTTTAAGCGCCACACGAGCGAAAATTGATCCGCTACGCCTCTAAAGGAGTCGGCCCGTGACAGTTGATAGAGATAAATATGAATCAAGTTTAAGTTGAGAAAATCTATTGGAGCATCTTTAGTCCACAAGAAAAATCAGTCACTTTGCTTGTTTCCAATTTTCAGAATTTACTTTTTAGAAAATTCTACTTTTTTGTTTTCTGTATTTTTTTTGTTTTCACTAAATTTTTTAAATATTTTAAACAATTTTTTTAAAAAAAAATTTTAGACACACCTAGCATAAATACACTTAGAATGTAGAATATTTTTAAAAAAAAAAAAAAAACCTTTAAAAAATTCACTAAATACCAAAAATATATTAAAAAAAATGAAAATTCAATATATTTTTCGTATTTTTGTGTATTTATTAATTTTTTAAAATATTTTTTCATAAATAATTTACTATTTAGATACATTTAGGTAAGGTACATCTAAAAAAGTAAAAAATTTGCTTAAAATTTTAAAAATATTCACTAAAAAAAAAATAAAAAACAAAAATTCAATTTTCAGAAAACTGAAACCAAAACATTGAATGACACTCTAGATATTTAATTAACCAAAAGGAAAATTTGCTAACTACACAAAAGTTCTATGCAAAAATAAATAAATAATAAATAATAAAATCATACACAATAATTTGCCAATGGGATTTTTGTAG